AAGCCAGTGTTAATGAAATGTGTAATGCCTGTTGTAGCTCATAACAGTTTTACATCAAGTTTATGGGCCTGGAGCAGTACATTTATAATGCATGATGTGTGCATGTTTACGACATTGGAGCACCCACATATAATCAACGTGGACTAGAGATTTATGGCCATCTTTATAAAACTTGGAGTATAATTTCATTACTTTTAAATATTTACAGAAGTTGAAAGTTATAACTTTCCTTTTATGGCTTAGTGTAGGATACTGTGGTCCTGTCTGTGATGTGTTTAATCCTCAGTCCTCATTTAGAAAAACCCCGAGGGCAGCCCTGAGCCTTTTGGGGACAAGCAGCTCTCTAAGGACCCCATAGGAGGCCCTGGGAAGGAGAAGGAGCTCTGAGGAGAAATAAACCCCACTGGGTGGGCAGGCAGGGCTGTCTCAGGGCTCAGAGGAGACCCTTCTCTGTGACCCAGGAGCTCAGAGGAGACTCCCGGGAAGAGGTAGGACTGGGCTGAGCCTGGAAAGGCAGGTGGGGCCTCAGGAGGGAGCAGCTGGGGGCAGGGCTTCCCCAGGAAAACCACAGGATGCCACCAACTCCAACTGTTGCCATCTGGAGTTTCCTTCCCTCTGAAGATGCTATGGTCAAAGTCCCCAAGCTCTAAGTCACTCAGGTTTCATGCTGGTTTTTTCCATAAATCTTCCCCAGACACTGGGAGTAGAGAAAGGAGAACAAAGCGTAAATCCACAGAGGTTTGGTGATCCCCGTGCTGGGAGGGAGAGTCTAGGTCACTGTGTGTTCTGGTTGCATGCTTGTAAGCAGGAACTGTAGGTAGGCACTGGTTACACGGGTGGGATCAGTACGCAGCTGTCTCCAAAGGATCTCAGCGATCCCATTGAAAATGGCCCCTTCCACCTCCCAGTGCCTTCCACAGGGAGGAAAGGAGACTATTTTATGTGTGTAAATTAGCAGTAGAGTTGGCTGCACGTTTCAGTAAACCCATTATAAATACACCTTAGGGAAGACGTAAGATTAGTTCCCTCTGTGGTAAGAAAAGCCCAGAAGTAAGTAGCCAGGGCTGATGGAATAGCCTCCTTTGGAAAAAGGGATTCAGGCACAAACCTGTTCTTCTGTCAAACACAACGCATTGCACACCTCAGAATCCAATAGGGCTGCCTGAGCTTCAGCCATCACACTCACATTCCACTTAGCAGTGAGACGGGAGGTACAGAAACATGTGTGTCCTATTTCCTGAAGACATTTTCTGGAAATTACACACGGCCCTTCTGTTTCTATTCCATTGGCAACACGTTAATTACACAGCCACAAATAATTGCAAGGGGGGCTGGGAAATGCAGTCATTATTCTGGGTAGCTATGGGCCAGCTAAATTATTTCTTCCCTAAAGAGGAAAGGGAGAACAAAAATGGAGGAACAGTCAACAGTGCCTTCCAACCTGTGCGTGAATGTTTGCACAGGTGAGGCTGCTAGGTATGCTGTGGGAATGTGTCCATGCCTGTGTTAGAAGCATGGCTCACCATCGGTTATTAAGCATCCACTGAAGGAATCCTGCCGAGCAAGAAAGTGCATGGATAATAAGTGCATATGGGTCATGGATTCTATGGAAATAAATACATGTATACCGATACGGTGTAAGTGTAATTGTGTATGCTCATGCTCATATATGTACTCCTAATTCGCTTATTTATTCAGCTAGTATTTCCTAAGCACCTACTATGTGTCTGGGACTATGTCACACACTTGTGATTCCACATGGTAACCTGGCAGTCAAGATCACTGACCTACGAAATTTAGTCTATTGGAAGAGATGGACGAAACCCAAGCACGTTAATAACCAAGTAAGATGGTGTCATCATGACATTTGTGTGATGAAAATAAACAGTGTGGTGCTTTAGGGATCGACGGGGAGAAGAGGGTACGCCCACAAGAGACAGGAGGCTTGTGGAGGGTGTCCCTAAGGAGGTGATATTGAAGAAAACCCAGGTACTGACAGGCATCTGTTTCCAGCTCAGTACCCTTCTCAGAGCTCCAGGCGCTGAGCTCCAGATGTCACCAAAGTCCATTCTGCCCCAGGTCCACATGGCCCGAGGGAAGCTCCTGTTTCTCCTGCACAACCTGCCCCTCCCTCTGCCAGGCTTCTTCACTCAGCCCATGGCTGCACTGTGTACTGAACGCTGGGAGGAGCCAGGTAAGGAGTCCAGGCAGAGGGAGCAGCTAGTGCAAAGGCCCTGGGGCAGGAAAGGCCTTCCTGTAGTGGAGGACAGAGAGGAGGCCAGGGCGCAGCCAGCCCCAGGTGACTCCCAAAAAAAGGAGCCAGGTGAACCCCAACACCACCCTGCTGACCTCCTGCTAGGCCTCCCCACTGGGGGGACACCTTCAGAGCCAGAGGCAAGGGAGCCCCATGGTGTGGGCCACCCAGTCAGCCTGCAGGTCACAGAGCAAGGGGAGGTGGGGAGAGGACCCAGAGAACAAAGGGCAGTCATGTGGCACAGGCAGGGGCCAAGGCCAGGGCGCTCATTCTGAGTCAGGTGGGGAGCCGTGGGGGACAGCGGGCAGAGAGATGGCAAGGCCCGACTTGCAGGTTTAAAGTGTGCTGTCATTGTCATGGGGACAGTGAACTGCAGAGGCCTTGGTGGAGATATCAGCAGTGACCCAGGGAGAAGTGACAGTGGCTCCACATAGGTGTGGACAGGGCAGGGGTGCAGAGCCGGGCCTGTGTTGGGTCAGAGCACAAAAGCCACCCTGAGGGACTCCAGGTTGCTCTTGGGTCTGCTTGAACAGCACAGTGACAGCCCTGTCCCTGGACAGGGGTATCCTGAACGTCTGGGGAAATGGGGGATCCAGGCCTTGCCGGACGGTGGGGGTGAGAGCTGGAATGGTTCGAACAGCCTCTCTTGCCCTGGGCCACCTCCCGAAAATTCCATCTCAGGGCTCAGAAGGTGCAGACAGCGGGAATGAGTGAGGTGCCCGAGGATGGCCCGGTGCCAGGGCACCGCTGTCCTCACATTTTCTTTCCCATCCATTAGGAGGAAATGTGCTGGGGCCAGCGCCAGCTTCCAGCCGAGAAATCAATGGCTCATTAGAGTTCACCTTTGCCTCCCCTCTGCCCTGAGGCTATTAAAACTGGCCAGGACAGAGCAAGACTCAGCCTCCCCGGGAAGGACAGCAGGCTGGGCCCACTACTCCTGCAAGGCCACCCCAGCCAGCACAGCCGCTCTGTCTCCAGGACCCCCGGCCGCCCTGCTGAGGGCCTGGCCCTGCAGTAGGGAGACCACGTCAGCCTGGAGTGGAGCAGGCACAGCTGTCCTGAGTCCCCAGTTCAAATCCTGTCTCCCCCACTCGTGGGACCTGTGACCCTGGGGTCGCTTCCCCTCCCTGGGATGCAGCCTCCCCATCTGGAAAATGAGGCTTTACTATGAGAGCATCAGTGCTGTTCTTGCAAGCAGTGGCTCCGTGCCTGCTGGTTTGAGCAGAGAAAGCAATGGATAGAAGGGTCATCAGGGATCTGGAACCTCTGGGAGGATAAAGGGACAGGCGTGGGGGCTGTGCAGGCAGCAAGAAAGCATCTCCGGCAGGACTGATCACTGGGGACCCAACACTGATGTTGTGGCCACAGATACCACATCCTGGGATGCACCCTGACACCCACCCTGAGCTCACAGTGCAAACTCCACCCCACTCTCAGTCCAGGTGGTTCAAGCCCCTTCTCTGCACAATGCTGTCACGTGATCTGGGTCTGGCCAGTAAGATCCATAGACTCTATCTGGGCCAATGAACGTCACGACAGGGCTGGGCCAGACTCACTGGAAGAGAGTCTACTTTCTGCTGAGGGTGCTAAATTGGAGGATAGAAGCCTGGGCACTGGGGACCCGCCTTGCCACTACCCAAAGAGCCTGCCTGAGAACTCTGCCGACACAGAGGGAAGCAGGCCTGAGAGACAGAAAGGAGGCACTCTAATGGCACTGTGAGAGCCCCTGGATGTAGCTGTGCCTGAAGCTGCCTTGTGAATGTGGAACAGCAAACCAGGCATGTGTGTATCTTTGTTCTTGGTTTTGTTTTAGTTCTTGATTTGGGTTCTGCCACTTGCAACCAAAAGATCAAAAAATAATTCAAGAAAACACCTGGCACGGCATAGGTCAGTGTTAATTCCAACACTCGAGGAGAGGCCTAGAGGTGAGCAGTGGAGGTGAGGAGAGAGATGAGGGTCCCATGCACTTCTCACCCCCATTCTCAAGATACCGGATTCTACCATCTGTGACGTGAGGAGCTGGGGCTGGGGTCCGGGTGCTGCAGGGAGGGGCCCTCCATTCTCATCAGCTCCTCTCCCCTCCCAGAGGTGGGCAGACCTCCTCCCAGGGGACCTGGGTCCTGATGTGGAGTACGTCCAGGGGAGCTTATGGGAGGGGAGGGAGGGGACCCCAGATGTCTGCCTCCAACTGTTGCCCTGTTCGCTGTGCCAACAGTCCACCCGGGGCAGCAGCCTTTCGGAATTTTCCCACTCATACCTGGAGGAAACGCCTCGTGGAGATATGGGCAGAGCCTGGTATTTGGCACCAAACACATCTGAATGCATGATACCTTCTGTCACTCACTAGCTGTGTGAGCCCAGGCCAGTCACCTCACCCTCCCCTCAGTTTCCTGGTCTGTGAAATGGGGGCAATGGTAAACAGATCAGGAGGTTTCAGGACATCGACATGTATGAAAGTACCTGGTACACGGCCGGTGCCTGGAAGGTGCATCCTGGTCCTTCCCTCCTAAGAGGCCCGGTGGGTGCTAGAATGACGATTGAGTCCACATTTCCTCTTGGTGAATTAAATGAAGTGGTGGCCAGGTGCAGTGCCTCAGGCCTGTAATCCCAGCACTATGGGAGGCTGAGGCGGGTAGATCACGAGGTCAGGAGTTCAAGACCAGCCTGGCCAACATAGTGAAATCTCATCTCTACTAAAAATACAAAAAATTAGCCGAGTGTGGTGACAGGTTCCTATAATCCCAGCTAAGGCTTAAGCAGAAGAATCCCTTGAACTCAGGAGGTGGAGGTTGCAGAGAGCCAAGATTGTGCCACTGCACTCCAGCCCTAGTGACAGAGCAAGAATCTGTCTCAAAAAACAAACGTGGCTGGGAGAGTGAAATGCAACTCGTGGCCTGTTTTTGGGACTCAATAGCCATTCGCTGTGGCCATGATCACCATCATCCCCACTGTGATTGTTACTGGATGTGGAGACACACACCCGACATGCTGACTTGGGGAGGTCTGGGTGCTGATCAGAGGTTACATGAGGTACTCATAGCCTGTGATGGTCAGTGAGGGCCTCCTGGAAGAGGAAGACCTGAAATGGCATTCAAAGTCTGTGGGGGCTTGGGTGAGGTAGGGAGTGCTGAGGAACAATAGTGCCAACACACATGCAGGTGCTGCCTATCACTGCGGGCAGCTGGGGCCTGGGCGTGCGAGGTGCCTCAGCTCATTCAGCCCCCACAGTCCCAGGAAGTCGGTGTGAGTTTGATCACCCAGGTTACCAATGAGGTAAGTGAATAATAGAGAAGTTAGTAACTTACCCAAAGTCACACAGCAATAAAGTGGCAACGTGGGATTTGATCTCAGACAGCTGCACTCAGGAGCCCACCCTCTTGAACCCTACACCATGCAGTCACCACGATGGCTTTTCCTTGTATCCTCTTCCCGTGATTTTAAGACGCATTGAATTTTTAAGGACAGCACTAACTGTTGACATGGAGGGAAGACTGTCCACCCGACATCCACGGGCGTGCTCTTGTGGTGTGAGGTCACCGCACCACACCATCACATGTGTGTCAGTCTGCACGTGCCACCCACCTGCATTCACTGTCCTGCTGTTAGGTGTGGCCACCTGATGGCCGCATTCCAATGTGTTCATCCTCAGAGATGTCAAGAGACTGTCCGGTGCAGACAGGTCCTCTTTAGAGAGGATGAGGCCCATCTCAGTCCACCACTCATGTGGGGGGAAATGCAACTTTTGTTATTTTCTAAAACTTCATACAGTCTTGGAAGCATTAGGGCAAGCTGGTTGAAGCGTAGATTCTGGATCCCGAATGCTTATCCCTTTGCATCTACTTCCTCCCAGCCGTGTGACCTTGGTCAAGTTTACTGAACACACTGTGCCTCCATGGAGCATGCTGTGTCTCAGTTTCCTCATCCATGCTGTAGGGGATAAAAGAATCTTTGCTTAGTGTGGCTGAGAAGATTAAAAACACTTTCCCATAAAAGTACTTAGACCAATGCCTGCAGTGATAGATATTATTATTTCTATTTGAGTCAATATCCTGCAGGGGTGGTGGAAACATATTATCTTAGACAATTTGGGATTCATTTTTTCCCTTTTCTGAGTCTTTACCTAGTACCAGTGACAGCAGGGACCAACATGGACCTCAGGCACCATCTCCCAGAGCCAGTACCTCCTGGGACATCCGTTCTTAGCCTGGATCATGAGTGTCAGCTAGAGGGGCTGCCAAAATTTGCTCCCTGTGGCTGACTGATGGCCCTTCCAGCCAATCCTACTGCTTCAGTGCCACTGAGACACAAGTAAGACACCTCATAGATCCGAACCAGGGGAGGGAGGTGAAGGGCAGGCACCATTTGCCACCCTTCAGAACCGAACTGCCAATGCAGGAGTAACAAATGCAGATTTCTAAAGGGGTGGGCAAGTGACGGAAGTGGGTAAATGGGCTAGTGGGGCCGCAGAAGAGCCGCATGCATAAGGGCGGCCACTTCTCAGCTCTGCCAAGCAGTCGTGTGAGGGAAGGTAGACCCTGTGCAGATGACTTTTCTGCTTTTAAAGAAGCCAGAGTCTTGTATGTGAAATAACCTGTTCTTTTTAAAAGATATTGGCGAAAAACTTTTCAAAGCACCATGTGAAGGCAAACATATTGGAAAGGAAGACATAAAACTGTCCCTAATTGCATTTGACATGCTGGTCTATATAGATAATGCCAGCGAACCTCAAAAACAAAAACAAAACAAGCTCCTTCTAGAACTACTAGTGAGATTAGCCAGGTCAACAAAGAAAAATCAATCATATTTATGTACAATAGTCATGTACCATTAGAAAAATACTGATACCGTTTATAAAAATTTCCAAAAATAAAATACTTAAGTATAAATCTAACAAGCATGTACAGGCTTTGTATGCTTTAAACGACAAAATATTAATGAAAGAAATCTAGGAAAACCTAAATAAATGGAAATACATACCATGTCCATGGATTGGAGGACAAAGGCAGTAAAGATGTTAATTCTCCCCAAGCTGATATTCAGATTTAGTGCAATGTTAATTAAAATGCCAGCAGGAATTTTTATACATACAAACTTATTCTAAAATGTACAGGCAAAAGCAAAGAAGCTAAGATAGAAAAAGAACAATAATGTCAGAAAAGTCGCTACCCCACTTTAACTGTAAAGCTATAGTATCACGACTGTGGTATTGATAAAGGAATTCACACATAGATCAATGAATGAGAACAGAGTCCAGAAATCCACCTACACAAATATGGGCAGTGGACTTTTAACAAAGGTACAAAAAATGGTAAATAAATGGAGAACAGGTAGTATACTCAATAAATGGTGTTTGAACAAATGGTCATCTATATTAAAAAAAAAATGGACTTCAACCTGTATCTCACACCTTAAAAATTAATTCAAGATATATCATAGATCTAAATGTAAAACACAAAACTATAACACTCCCCATCTCCAGTGGAATGCTGCTTGGAATAAGAAAGTTAAATCAGGGGCGTGGGGGGAAGGGGATGATGAAATTCCCACTCACCTGAGTGTAAGGACCAGATTCAGTCCACAGTCTGACTAATGCTCATCCAGCTGCAGGCCTGGATGTCCCTTGGGGTGGGGACAGGGTCCGTTCCTTCCCTGCATCCCCTGCATCCAGGGGTGCACATACTGTCTCTGTGTGGCCTCTGCCAGGTAGGAGGTCAGGAGGCTGCATCCTTCCCTGGGGCTGGAGCAAACCCCCTGGCAGCCTGGGCCCCAACAGCTGCTGAGTGATTCCTCAGCCCCTGGCATGTGTCTGCCCAGACTCCATAATCCCCAGACCTCCAGGGGCTCATGTGTCAGCTGTGCCTGATCAGGGAAGGAGGGAGGAGGAGGGCAGAGTGAGACAGAGGAGGAGACAGGGGAAGGGAAATCCCTGGCGGCCCTGGGAAATCCACCCCTGCAGCAGCTGTGAGGGCCCATGATGCATCAGAACTGGCCTCTCAGGCTCGGCTTCCACCACCAAATCCACAGGTATTTCTGGAGGGGCCACCACAGGGGTCACGTCTGGATGTCCCAGACTCAAATGCAGCCCGCAGGCGTGTGCAAGGGCCAGGCATGTTCAACACATCCAACACTCGAGATGTCAGGACAGACAGCCAGCAATGTTCGGTGGACGCTCACTGTGTAAACACCTGCCCTGGGCATGTGCCCTGTCGTCCTGCCCTCATTTACCTGCAGAATTTGGCACCCACCTGCTGTGAATGAATTGATGAGGCTCTTCTCAGAGCCACTTGAGGAGGCCTGTGTCCACCCACCAGCCAGGACATCCAGGAAGCCAGGTCCCCAGCGTCCCTGCCAATCACAGCCCTAGTCCTAAAAGCCCAGTTCTGGGCTGCCAGGAAGCTTCACTGACAAAGTATTGATCAGTCCGCTGGTCGATGGGGGCCTTGAGCTGCCCAGGATCCTGCAAGACTCGGTGGTCCTCAGCTCCAGGAGCCCATCCTCCCAGGGTGGGGCAAAGCATCCCAGGGGCTTCTGCAGGAGGCAAGAGGGCAGGCTTCAGGGCACACAAAGAAAACCCCAGAGCAAGTCAGGGCCCAGGGCTGTGCTCTGCCACCATCTTGGCCCCAAAGTCGGCACTCTTACTTTGCAACCTTTATTACAGGCAATGAACAGAACCTGCACTTTAGTCTCCCTGACTTACTAACACCTGGAGGCCCTGTAGGGCTCTGGCCTCAATTCCAGCCCTGCTCCTAACCTGGACCCCCAATGGCCTCCTGCTGACGGCGACTCTGTGCCCAACCTGCACCCACCTCTGCTTTTTTTTTTTTGAGACGGAGTTTCGCTCTTGGCTCTTGTTGTCCAGGCTGGAGTATAACCTCTCCAGGCCATGCCCACTCAGACTTGGCCTTGCCGTTCCCTGTGCCGGAGCCCCCTCTTCCCCCCCCATCCCACCCCCAGTTCTGCTGGGCTCCCCACCACCTCCAGGTCTCAGGCCTCCCCCCACAGCCATCCCCTGGGACTTCCCCTGCCGAACCAGCACCCGTGACTCTCCATCCATCCCTCCTTCCCTCCATTTTTTCTTCCTAAGACTTATCCCAATCTGACATTATAATTTAAACTTAACCATTTGCTTCCTCAATATCTGTCTCCTGTCTCAAAATATCAACTCCAGGAGGACAGGGATTGGTGGCATTTTTCCACTGCTGTGTTCTCAGGGCACCTGGACGTGGCACTGGGCACTTACAGGCACACATGGATGAGTGTCGGGGAGATGGATGGAGGGAAACAGCCTGGAGAGGGAGGCACGGCCTGACGGCGGCGCTGGCCTTGGGACACTCACTCGGGGAACCTTCTGGCAAAGTCGCCGCTCCCAGGGCCCCAATCTTGTGCCTTCATTCATTCATTCACCACCCATTCATTCATTTATTATTTCACCCAAACAGGCCTTTCCTAAGCACCCGCTCTGTACCAACAGTTATTATGGGTTCTATGAGTAAAGCAATGAGCAAAACAAACCAAAATTCCTGCAAAGACTTTAAAATTCCGTGGTAGAAGGTATTTACCTGGCCCCTATCACCTCAGTTGGGAGGGGTGAGGAGAGAAGGCCCCGAGAAGAAGAGGCTTCCTGCCTAGAGCAGCTGTCACAGGTCCTGGTGAGCTCTCATGGCAGATACAGCCCAGGACATCCCCAGACCCAGAGTGGCCAAAGGCCCTGGTGAGATGGGGAAGAGGAGAGTTGGATGGTGACAGGAGCCAGGAAGAGGACAGAGGGACAGAGGGGGACAGAAGTGGCTGGGGCCAGGTCTAGACTTTAAATGGGGTGACAAGGATGGTCTCACTGAGAAGCAACATCAGGGTCATGACCAGAGGGAGGAGACCAAATCCTCCTGAAGACCCTGGGAGGGGCACCATCGTCATCCTTATTTTCCACGGGAGGCTCAGAGGGGTTCAGCAACTCGCCCGAGGCCACACAGCTGCTACACGCAGAGCCCACTTTCAACCTGAAATCAGGCCCTTGCTGGGTCAGAACTCTGCTCCTCCGAGTCTTGCTGGGGCTCCTGGTCACTCTGGGTCTGGGTGTCCTGGGCTGTGTCTGCCATGAGAGCTCACTGTGGGGAGCCTGTGACAGCTGCCTGGGAAGAACGCCCCTTCCTCCCAGGGCCTTCTCTCCTCACCCCTCCCGATGTTCTAATGAGCAGGGAGAAAAGACATCGTACAGAGCAGCTAGAATTCATTTCAATATTAATTCTGAAACCTCATTTTCAGTGGATAATTAAATTACTTTTTAATTACAAACAGAATATCTGCACATTCCCTCTGAGTGAGCATGGGCGGGTGTGGAGGGAGAAAAATGGTGCCACCTGGCATTTCCTGCTTGTCTCCAGCTCACAGGACCCCGCAAATGGTCCCCTCCTTGTCACATCTGAAAGCCATGAGCATGTATCCAAGCCACCCCCCTACCCAGTCACCAGACAAATCCCCCCACAGATGAAATCGTGGTCTCTGCTGCATCAGGCAGCTCATGAAGCCCCCAAATTGCCCCCATAGCCACCTCCTCCCCAGCCTCTAAAACCGCTCATAGGGAGGACACCAAGTTTCACTTAAACAAGGAAAAGGATCCCCTCGAGGTGAACCTCGGACAGCAGAGCCCGCACTGCCTCAGATGGGCTGCGGAGATGGGCTGTGGTGAGGGCGGAAGCCAGCTGTCCTGACCCAGGCACTTCCGGAACCAGCAGAGAGCCCAGCCAGCGCAGTGTCACTGCAGAAAGCTACCCTAGATGGCAGACTCTTCCCTTCCCTTCGTGGAGACACATGTCTGCAGCTACAGGGGCACAGCATGTGCCCTCCTGCTCTCTCCCCGAGAGCCCCTCCCGCACCCTCGTCCTGGGCTGCCTCTGGCTGGAGTGGCCAGGCTGTCCAGGCCTGGGCGGGTGGGTGACAGAGGAGGCTCCTAGAGGCGCAGCCTCTTCGCCACTGACCAGGTACAGCCTGGGAACCATCCCCAGGCCCTGGCCACCAAGTGTTTGGGGTGGGTGGCCTGGTGGGCACAGACTTTGGGGACAGAGGAGCTGGGTCAGCTCCTGGCTCCTCGGCTGAGCAGCTGAGAAGGGGTGAGTGTCTACTGCCGGCCACAGCCGGGCCCTGGGTGAGGAGGGGGTGCGCCTGAGCTGGGGGAGCCCAGAGCTGCCTGGGCAGGATGGACAGAGATGCTGCTGGCCGCCCACAGCAGCCCTGCCCGCCAGGGTCCACCCTCTGCGTGACCAGCCCTTACAGCCGCCTTCTGTTGGCTTCCTCCTTCTCCTTGGTCTCTGCCTGGCCTGTCCCTGCAGCTCCTATCAGGGGGACACATGGCTGTCAGTACAGTGTAGGCCCCAGGGGCAGATGGCGGCCCCCAGTCCCCATGTCCTGCCCCGCCTGCCTTTCACACGAAAATGTGAGAGACAGCCAGGCAAATGTCCACCAAGCTGGGGGCACTGGGCAGTGTGGACACGAGGCCACATCCACACCAGGTGGCTGGAGCAGCTGCTGGACAAATGGCCTCTGATGGCGCCTGGCACTCCTGCAGCCTCTGTCCCTGGAGCCCGGTCCATCCTCTGCACAGATATTGCACCTGTTAGTTCCCCTCCCCCAGCACTCTGCAACCACAGGATGGGAACAGCCAGCCCAGCCGGCTGAATGTGCCACAGCCTGGTGAGAACAAGCAGCTCCTTTATTTTAAAGTGATACCCAGAACCCCGTGGTGAGGAGCAGAGCAGACCCTTGCCTCTAGGACCAAACTGAAACAGCCCCGAAAGGGAGCAGCTGCCACTGAGCTTCCCCACCCTGTCCTCTGTACCTCACAAGGCCCAGGGGTTCTGGGAACAGAAGTGGAGTAGCTTTTCACCCAACTACTGCTTCATTTATTCCTTCATTCATTCAGCAAACACTGACAGGGTCTCCCCCCTCAGAAAGGAGGGGATAACAACCCGTTCAAAGGTTGTTGGAGGGCCAGGCGTGGGGGCTCACGCCTGTGATCCCAGCACTTTGGGAGGCCAAAGCAGGCACATCACTTGAGGCCAGGAGTTTGAGACCAGCCTGGCTTTTTGGCCAACATGGCAAAACGTCATCTCTACTAAAAATACAAAAATTAGCTGGGCGTTGTGGTGGGCACCTGCAATCCCAGCTACTCAGGAGGCTGAGGCAGGAAAATTGTTTGAACTGGGGAGGCGCAGGTTGCAGTGAGCCAAGATTGCACCACGGAACTCCAGCCTGGGCGACAGGGCAAGACTCTGTCTCCAAAGAAAAAGCAATACAAATGTTGCTGGAGGACTAATGCAGACTTTGCTGGGAGTGCCTGGCACAGCCTGGCTCAGAGAACACGGTTGCTGGGGTCAGCTCATGCCTGGGCTCTCTCTGAGTGTGGTGGGAGGTTCTGAGCAGGAGGAACACGATCACATCTGCTTCCCACAGAGATCCCTAAGGCTGTGCAGACGGCGGAACCCAGGCAGCAAGGGTGGGAGCAGGAGCCCAGCAGGCCCCCGCAGCGGAGAGACCAGCTGCCCGGAGCCTCCTCTGGGCCTGAGCTCAGGGCCAGGGTTGCAGAGCCCAGACACAACCTCTGCAGCCTAGCCCTCTGCCCACTGCCCTGGCCCCTAAACCCGGCTGACTCCAGAGCGGGCACCACAGCCTTTTGCACCCCCACCAGCCTGTTTGGGCCAGGAGAGGAGGCCTGGCCTCATGGCCCCAGAGAGCCCTCAAGCCATTTACCCCCAGAGTGATGGCATTCGGGGGTCGGGTTGAGGAATTCCCTTGCAAGCTGGGAAGTCTCCACTCGAAGAATCCAGCAGCTCCTTGCCATGCAGCAGCACAGCCCCAGGGTCTGCCACAGCCCTGCTGGTAGGAGACGCCGTGGGATGCTTCCTGTCTCAGAACTTCCCCAGAGCCTCGTGCTGGCCTCATAAAAAAAATAGTTAAATTTACTGCCCTAAATTTACAGAATCAATAGGGAATGGCCAAAAAGCAGAAACCAGGATCCCGGCCCCTAACCTCTGTTTTCTCATCTGCAACATGGAATTAGGGGAAGATGAGAGGTACTTGAGACCTCTTCCTGTGTTGTGGGCCTGGAGCCCAGCGGTGACTGGATTTCCCAGACGCCTTCTCCTCCACGTCTCTCTCTCATGCCTCCTGATCATGCTCTGAAATTACCATATTTGATTATCTGCTTATCCTCTGTTTTCTCAGCAGAATGTGACTGGGGTAAACAGAGAGGGCTTCCCAGAAGAGGGGACTTGAGTGGGGAAAATGGGATTCAGAGAGTCGGAAAGTTGGTGGGAGCAAATTCCAGGAAGCATAACAGATTTGAAACCCAGGGCCCAGAGCAAGGATATCGCAGGTACAGTCTTGACTTTTATTCCCTCCCAGACGCTTCGATCTTACGCCATTTGACAACAGGACTTTGAAAAGTAATTCGATGTTTTATGCATCCTTAAATGCTTCAAAGCTGCAAATCAGTCACCGGGTGCTTTGCTAATCATGTCCTGGGCTCCTATGTTGCTAATAATTGTGCTCTCTTACATGCCCACCTGACCTTTCTCTGTCCCAGGCAAATGAATTTCTCCTGGTGTTCATTGTTCTAATTGCATTCACAGCAAGGCAGAGCAAACATGGTCACCTCCTGACTTGCATTAGGCAAAACCTTAATCTCCCCAAGTTTCCTAAAGCACTGTGTGATTCCCAGCCTCCCAGTGCCACGAAATGCACTATTGGATGTGGCAGTCAGTGTACATTAGATTTATTCAGGGAAAATAAAGGAGCTTTGATACTATAAACTATTGGGAAATAGTGATCCCCCCTCTCAAGCATGGACATCCCATAAATTTGCCTCTTAGGAAACAAAATATATAAGGCTGCCGATCACACACATATTGCCAGGTTGATATCCTGTGTGCAGTCCACAAAATGAAGAGGAGTGGATTTGTGTCTCGGGCAAACTCTCAGGCTGTCTGTGGGGCTGGTGCTGCCGACCCTGATCTGAGGGTCAATTGGCCTAAAAAAAGACCCCTGGAAGGCAAGGCGGCAATGTGGGAAGGTGGGATGCTCAGGACTGTAGCAAGAACAGAGCAAGAGAGAGCTAGCCTGGAAGCCTGGCTATGCACCTTCATTGCTTTGTGACATTTGGTGGGCAGGTGGCTCAACCCTTCTGGGCTTTAGTTTCCTCACCTGTCACCAAACCAGAAGGTTGAGGGTTAAATGCAGTCCTGGATGGATCTTTGTTAGGCAGCTACAATGTCTGCCAGGCCCTGGTCTTGTCTACAGGTAAATAGTGGAGGCCATGATAGGCAGGGCCTTGACCTCAGGGTGCCCAGAGAGAACAGGCCAAGGAAGAAGGCTGTTGACTGGGTAGACTCAGACTATGACAAGGCTTGTGACAGTGACTGGGGAGGGGATGGTAACATTAACCAGATAACACAGACTCAACACCATGACAATGACTGTGGATGGACACATCCCTCTCATATACTGACCCAGGTTGGTGGGGCCAGTTAGAGCCATAAACAAGATTGGTGCAGCCAGTTAGAGCTATAAATCCATGCCAATTTCATAACCAGCAGCCACCAGCCATGGGCATGCTGGGTTCTGATGTTGAGGATCAGGACTGAATGCAGCCAAATAAATGCATTCATCAAAAGATGTTTTATTACTGCCATCACTATTATTCTTTACATTACCGTGTTATAGATGCAGCAACTCAGTCCTACCAAGGAATCAGTAATCAGCAAGACACTCCTCTTTGATATATACCCTGTCTTCCCTCTCTAAACTCCTTTACCTAAAGGTGAGTAGGCAAGGAACGTCTTGCTGAGTTCTCCACTGTCCTTCAGCCAAAACCTCACCCTCCTCCCAGCCACTTGGTGATATTGGGGCAGCAACCAACCCTGCAAATCACATGTTGGTTTTGCTAGTGACTTCCTGTTGGGCTTTGCCAATGGAGGCACTAGAGGAAGACCTAGAGGCTGGAGGAAGGAGAGAGAGGCTGGACTTGCTATTTTGTGTATACTTTCTGTTCTGATTTTGCTGCTGCTTCTCGTTTTTTATTTCCCTGTCAGTACACCAGCATCGTGAATCAGACAGTGCTAGATAATTTTCAGCACCATCGTTTCATGCTGCAAAGTCCCAGTTGGTACCTCTGGGATACCTTAGTGCAAGGGTTGGCCTTTTTTTAAAAGGGCCACATAGTAAATATTTGGGTCTTATAAGCTATATGATCTCTGTTGCAACTAGGCACCTCTGCTCTTGTAGTCATAAACAATATATAGACAAATGGGCATGGCTGTGTTCCAATAAAACTTTATTTACACAAACAGCCCACTCCTGCCTTAGTGTTCTGTTTGCATTTTAATTCTTCCATACCTAATGTTCACACACACACACACATTTTTGTTGTTAAAATAATTAGTATGGTTACATCCTGTGTGCATTTAATGGTGCAATGGTTTCTGAAACCATACTAGCTATTTTAACAACAAAAGTCCCCTGCCTGGACCCTTACTCAGAAATCAGAATCACAACTATGGTTCCTATCTGTCTTACTGAATAAATCATTTAATGTACTTGCTACTTTTTGTTCATCAGGTCCAAAGGGCAAAATGTCATTAATGTAGTGGACCAGTGCGCTGTTTTATACAATGAAAAGATCATCAAGAATCTCCGAAGACTACACTGTGGCCAAAAGCTGAAGAGTTAGTATAGTCTTGAGGCAAGGCTGTGAATGTGTACTGCTGGCTCCGACAGGTAAAAGCAAACTGCTTCTTATAGTCCTTACAAATTGATCTAGAAAAAATAAAGTATCTGCCAGGTCAATAGCTGCATTTGAGGGGTGGGGGCGGGGGGGGGGGGTTGCTCATTTGCTTAAGCAAACATAGCATGTCTAGAATGTCTAGAATAGGGGCTGCAACTCACTTCACCGCCTGTAGGTGGCTGTAGGCTTACAGTACCCACAGCCATTCTCCAAGAACCATCTGCCTCTACACAGCCAAACAAGAAAATTAAACTGGAGATCACTGTATTTCCCACCTCTGCATCTTTCAGGTCTTTGAGGATGGCACTCATCTGCAGTGCACCTTAAAATGCCATCCTGGCTAGGAGGGAAATTATCTGAGGATTCCACTTGGGTCTTACTACTATAATAGATATTACTCTGTGACTCTCTTCCGTTGCCATGAAACTTGGAAAACAGCTAGAGAGTATATCTGCAGGCCTATGGGGTGCACTGTGATTTGAAGTTAGGTCAAAAATCCACTTGTTACTTGACTTCTGTAAAGAAATCAGGCAAGAGGCTATGACTCCATAGTGATAGTGTATGGCCGTCAGATCTGGAGTTTTGCTATTACTTAGGTAGATCAAATAATGTTTTGATACATTGCCCATCTATTTCATGTCTAAGGACATCATAATGAATAAGCCATTGCTAAAGATTCCCTGAGAGTCAAAACATTCTAATTACCACTTCTTTTCTTCTGAAAAACATGGTAAATATGCCCATCTTGTCTTTAGGGGATAAATGCTGTCACATGTCCTCGTCCTCACTGAGATCTTCCATCTGGCGTCTCCCCCGGCATCCCCACCACCCTGCCTGGCCCATTCAGAGCAGCCACCATGGAGATTTGTAAGGAGGCAGGTGCTCCCTCCTTAGCATATTTCTCAATGCCTAAGTGAACAGAGTGTCTGTCCGCCCCTTTGAGGGCATGTAATGGGCTGGAGGAGGGATGGCACGTGTCATTCATGGTAAAGCCACTCCAACATCCCCAGCTCCCTAAGCCTTTGGATATTTCCCCTTACACTGTGCAATGAACATTCCCTTATCCTACTCTTATTCAATGAGGGCTGCCACTGAGACCAAGTGTAGTGTCCCATCAAGTAAACAGAGCCACTTCCGGCCTCACAAACTTACCGTGAAATTCAGAATTCCTAGTAAGGGCACCCATATCGATACCTTTACCATGACGCAGTGTTACATGCTGACCTCTTTAGTCTAACACTCTTATCGTCTATTCATACATATATTCTGCATGCTTCTGCCAATGTAAATTGGCAAAATCTTTCCAATGTTTTGGTGTATATGCAATTTCCTCTCGGGGGACTTTGTGCTCGTCCTCCTGGAATAGGCTGACATCTGGCCCTAGATTAGTAGCAGCAAAAATGGAGTCTAGGTAGCTCCTTTCAAGGAAGACTTCTAATGACCTTGTAAGGAGACATGAGAGAGAGGCTGCTTCTAATTGGTTCCTTTTCCTTTAAAAAAAAAATGTAGTTTTCAATGCCCGCTATCAGGGCAGGTACTTAGTAGGTTTATAATAGATACTTTTTGGATGAATGAATAAACAACATTTTAAGGATATGGACCAAGCATCTGAAATTCTATTTTTTAATTTATAACAAGATAACTTCCAAAATTCAGTCTTTACCCCCAATTAAACCTCATTTAAACGGAACTCCTGTCTATCTCCCAAGGAGCTCCTTCTCGGGCTCAGTGGGAAGCCCCTACAGGCCAGGCTGGGTCTGATGCCCCCAAGTCTCCACGTCTGGCAATATGATCCCTTGTACCTAACAAGTGCTCTGTAAATGTTGGCTGAATGAATGAGTGTGAGGATTGCCTCCAGAGGGCCTTTCCAGAACTACTCATTTCAGCTGGGCACCGGTCACACCTCACCTTCCTTCTTTGGGTTGCACTCAAAGAGATAAACTGATCCTACTTACTTTCTGACCAGCAATTCCTCTCTCACTCATAAACTGATGCCATTCTAGTGACCAACAGATAGCCTGCCATGAGTGAGGTGAGTTACCGCTGTCAGATCTCAGGGCTGAATGAAAACCCAGCCTTGCCTCAGTGGCCCTCTTGGTGCCCTCATCCTCTCCATGGAGGCAGCTCCTTCCCAGGCATCCTCTGTGACTCGGTGGCAGCATAGATGACGGGTTGAGGGCTGAGCATGAGTAAGACGGTCAACATAATTTGTGCCAACCTGGCAGTCGCTCCTCACCTTCCATCCTGACTCAACCTCCATGTGGTCCAGTCGCCTGGGAGCCATGAGTTTCAGGACACAGGCTCTCCCCAAGCCCCCGGACATGACTCTTGTTGGATCCAAGCCAGGAATTCTCAACTTTGTCAGACCCATGACCTCTTCCAAAGAAGAACTGTGCTTAATGATCTCTTTACTGCCCTGAAATGAAAGTCATAAATAATTAACCTATAACATCATACACCTACTTAAAAACTCATTACAATGCCCTAAGGGGACAATAAAAAGAAATAAAAGGACAATAATTTTTAATAAAATAATTTGTAATAAATTAAATCATATTTCAATATGCAAATGAACAGACACAGACACAGGCACACACAGAGACATAACAAACACTTAGATCCTAGCCAGCATCTGCAGAAGAAGTTTGGATAGAAGATCAGGAGTCACGCTACAGCAGAAGGGCAGAAAAATAAAGAAGACACTTGAATATAAATATTATATTCAGTGTACACTAAAATCTTACAAACATATCTTGTTTTGATATTAAGTTGATGTAGGCTCTAGGCTAAGATGATTAAATAGCTTTTCACACAAGAGCGACCAGAGGGGACTGAAATTTGTGTGGGAAACAGGACAGTCTGTCTTATGTGGACTGTCCAGCACCTTGGAAGCATCCAGCATTCCCAGCCCCACCCAGCTGAATGCCAGTAATGTCACCAGTCATTGAGCCAAGCCACCCCTCCACCACCACCACCCATTTCCAAACATCCCCAGGGCTTGTGCCTCTCTGGCGAAAACCCATTGGCCAAGCCATAATAATTCCACTTCCTCTACCAGCACCAGGCCTACCAATGCACTTGGGATGCAATTTTGGTCAAAGTAACAGGCGATCAAATCTGCTGGAAGCTTCTGGGAAAGGGTTTCAGGCTCTCATAAAGCAGCAGCAGGAGGAGACATGTTCTTTCTTTGGCTTTCACCTCTTACATGAGGGTGGGACACCTGGAGCTGTGGAGCAATCCTACGAGCTTAGGAGTGCAAGCCTGAGGGTCAAGTCACGTGGAGAGCACAGCGGGAAGTTTCAAAGAATCTGGGTCCTTCTCTGCACCAGCCAAACCAGAAGTACCTGGAATTCCACTGGATTTCTTGACTCATGGAGACATAAGATACCGTCCTAAGATGTAGGACAATAGGATACTTATTGTGGAATCCTCTGCTGCTTGAAGACAAAAGCATCCCACCTGTGACGGGTAGAGCCGTTTTTTGCTCATTATCATAATCCTTTCTACTTGATAAGCAAAACCTTTGAAATTTACAAAGCGCCAGACTAACCGTCTTATTATTGGAAACTCCCTCACTCCCCGTGAGGTGTGGATTATGATCCCCATGTACAGACAGCAGCACTGAGGCCAAGGAGAAGGGGAAGTGATTTGCCCCTCCAATATCCCTGCCCCCCTCACTCCTCCACCAGCCCACCAGGCAAGATCCCACCCTGAGGTCTTTGCACCTGCCGTGCCTTCTACCTGGAACCAGGCAGCTCCATGGATCTCTCCTCCTTAGGTCCAGTCAAGGGTCTGTCTCAGAAAGGCCGTCTGTGACCATTGATTAAAATAGCTCTTACACCTGTTCCGTCCTCTCACCTGTGGATTTTCCTGGTTGGCCCTGACACCATCTGACATATTACTCACCCATATGTTTACTGGCTTCCTTGCCTGCCTCCTTCCAGCAGATCTAAAGCTCCACAAGGACTTCCGACATGTGACTCTGCACCTAGAACAGGACCTGGCACATAGTAGGCCCTCCATAAATATGTGTTACATGCTGTCAGTGGGCCCACATGGCCTGCTGACCTAGAATTGAGTTTGGGTTTCTGCAAACCTCTTGCTGGCAGGATACTGGGTGGGGACAAGTTCTGGACAGGGTGGGTGTCCTCAGCCCCCAGTGGCTGCACCCTCCTTCCCGATCAGACCCAGCCTCCAGTGACTCAGACCCAGCCCGATGGAAGAACATTCTCTCAGGAACAATTCAGCTCCACCCTGACTTCCTGTAAGGAGTCTGAGGCTCCAAGGAAGGTGGCAGCTCAGCTTTTGGTCACCAGTGATAGAAACAAATAGAGCAGAAAGGCTTCCAGAGGGGCTGGGTCAGGGCCAGGTCTGTCCCACCCAGGGAAGGCAGAGAGACAGGATTTCGGGCCTTCCAGCACCTGAAGGTTCCATCAACGTGAACACCTCACACTGGCGGAGCTGCTTCGCGGTCAGGATTCTCCTGCCTCAGCCCGGCATTTGCTGATTCCGTTTGCTAAAGTCAGCGAGGATTGACTGAGCACCTCCTGTGTTTCGGCTGCTGTGCTAGGATTTGGGGACACAGCTGTGAACAGGCAGGCCCAGCCCTTGCCCTCATGAAACCTGCATCCTGACTGGAGTAAAGCAGCCCTACGTGAGTTAACAAACAAAAGTAAACCACATACAGACTGGGATCTGCACCACGGCGAAGGAAAGAGCACGCTGTGTTAGCGAGTCAACAGCGACGCCATTTTCACCCTATCAGGAGGAGGCAGAGTTCCAACCACGACCTGAACGAAATGACAGGAAGGAGCCAGGCAGGAAGAGGGTTCCAGGTGAAGGAAATGGCAGGTGCCAGTGCAGAAATCCTGAGACAGGAGCAAGGCACGAGCCTAGAGAGTGGAGGGGCAGAACAGCGGCCCTGGAGGCTGGCAGGCAGCCAGGGAAGGAGGCAGGTGTAGGGGAGGATTGAAAGGCCAGAACCTCCACCTGGCTGTCCGCTCAGCACCCAAGGCTCACCCAGCAGGCCATGGTGGCGTTCAGACGACTGAGGCGCTGCAGTCAGATGCGCTGGGTTCAAACCTCAAGGCTACCAGCCCCAAGGCTCCATGATTTCAAGCAAGTCACTGTGTTCCTGCATTTTCACACCACTATAAACAACCGCCCAACACTGGGTCGTCTACGAAAAATGTATGAAGGAAAGAAGTTTAATTGACTCACAGTTCTGCATGGCTGGGGAGGCCTCAGGAAACTTACAATCATGGCAGAAAGCGAAGGGGAAGCAAGGTGCCTTCTTCACAGGGCGACAGGAAAGAGAATGAACGCAGGAGAAACTACCCAACGCTTACAAAACCGTCAGATCTCGCGAGAACTCCCTCACTATCACGAGAACAGCATGGGGGAACCGGCCCTGTGATTCCATTACCTCCACCTGGTCTCCCTTTTGGGCAGGGACACAGCAAAACCCTATCAGTCACTTAACTCAGCCTCTGTTTCCTCATCTGTAAAATGGCACAAACAGCTGTGTCTTTCTCTCGGCATTGCCATGGTGATGGGTAAAGACGAATCGCTGGAATCCTCTCCAGTGGGGCTGAGCCATCCTGCCTGCCACGGCCACTCACATGTTCATTGATTCTTCCCACTGAAGGCAACAGGTATTGATGGACCACCTACACCAATATCAGGAATTTCAAGACGTGATGAGGTTCTGATCACTAAATTCTACAAAGAGTGAAAACCTCAACAAATGCTGATTAAGCAACACACTAACACACCCAGTGTGGCGCCAGGCAGACAGCAGGTGCTTATGGCACACAGCAGGTGTCACCACACATAGCAGTGTGCCCATACACAGCAGGTGCTCACTGTATACAGCAGGTGCTCAGGGCACACAGCCGATGCTCATTGTACACAGCAGGTGTCCCTACACACAGCAGGTTCTCCCATACACAGTAGGTGTTCAGGGCACACAGCAGGTGCTCACTGTACACAGCAGGTGCTCAGGGCACACAGTGGGTGCTCCCGTACACAGCAGGTGCTCACCGCACAAGCAGGTGTTCAGGGTACACATCAGGTGCTCCCAGCACATGGCAGGCGCCCTTGGCACACGGCAGGTGCTCCCAGCACAGCTGTTGCTGTGGTTGCTTTCCCTGCGCAGCGGGCACCTTCTTTCCTACACATCTGGTGCCACCAGGCCTCAGGGATTTGCCTCTCCCACCCCTTGGCAACAGGCATGCTGTTCCAGACACGCAGTGAGTGCAGCCTGGAACCAGGCAGCTCTCAGCATTGAGGTCACCAGTCCCCTTCCAGCGCCTGTAGTCTCCATGTCTGCAGGGAAGACTGGGGACTCAGGGATCCAGGAGGCTGCCCTGTCATGAGAGGGCCCTCCTCACTGTATTCTGACAATGGGAGTGGTCACTAGTCAACGAGAAGGACACAAACCCCTGCCCTGGCGGAGCCCATGGCAGCATGGGGTAGAGACCATGGGCAAGAGGCAGAGAGACACCTGCCGGGCAGCAGGAAATGCGATGAAGAAAAGGAAAATCATTCCTGGAACCTCATGAAAAGGAAAAAGGTTTTTTTGTTTAATTTAAAAATGTTTAAAGAAAAGTAAAATAGAGTAAGGGAGAGAGAGGGTAACAGGAAAAGATGGGTGATGTGGGGACACTGAGCAGACCCAAGTAAAATGGAGGAGCAAAGCAGGAAGCTGTCTGGGGGAAGAGCGTTCTGGAAACAGCACGTACAAAGGTCCTGGGGCAGCCCCTGTGGCAAGAAGGCAGAAAAGCACCTTTCTGTTTTCACACTGGAGCCTGTGGTGCTTTCTCTGGACTTCCTCCACCTCTCTCCTCTCCTGCTCCCATTTTTTCCAGGTTCTGGGACCAAAGCCAGATTCTCCAGTGGGGCTTCAGGGCAGAGGGTCCCTGTGATCCTGGAGCTGCTCTGTATCCCACCTGCTAAGTGTCATGTGGCTACCTCAGACCTGGAACTGCATCTGGGGCTGGTATTTCTGAGCTGCTCAACTGCCAGCTGTGTGACCCCGGGTAAGTCACTTCAACTATCTGAGCCCATTCCCTCCTCTGTAAGGAGGCGCCTTTAGAACCTACCCTGAGGGGTTGGCGAGAGGATTGCATGAGGTGATGCCTTCAAGACACCCAGCAAAGAGCCCGGGAGCCCCTGAGTGCCCAGTGCATGTGACTCTGAACACTGCTGCTGGTCCCTGCAGGACATCAGGGAGAGGGCCAGACTGGCCAGAGGGCGAGAAGCCCCTTTGGAGGAATTCCGTTGCATGCCCTCAGCGTAAATGGGGAAACTGAGGTGCAGGGAGGGCAAGGAACCTCCCCAAGGTCACACAGCAAGTCAGGAGATGCTAACTCGGGCCCTGCATCCCTCTCCTGACCACCCCTGCCCCCTCCGACCCTCCAGGGACGCTCCCAGTGCCAGGAGGGAGGCAGCTTCAGGCCTGGCTTTCAGCCTCCCCTGCCTGCCAACCCCAAGCTCCAGGCTTGCAGGGGGAGCCTCCCGGAGCTCTGGGTACGAGGTCCTCCAGGCTGGGTCGGGACGACCCGGCCCACAGCGCCACCTGGTGGCCGCCACTTCCACGCGGGTCGCGGTTTCTGGGCCAGGAGGAGGTCGTTACCAATGGCTATGGGTCTGGTCACAAAGTTCGTAAGCACTCCACTTTACAACGTCTAAGGGCCTGTCACAGCCTTCGCCTCAATTAGAAGAGAGGATGGGAAAAAGAGAAAAGAGAGAAGGGAAAGCCCCCCAAAACGAAAGAATTGAAAAATAGAACAAATATAGAAAAGCTAAATATAGAGAGAAAGAAAATGAGAGGGAAGAAAGAAAGAGAGAGAGAGAGAGAAAAGAAAAGAAAAGAAAAAAAGAAAAGAAAGAAAGAAAGAGAAAGAAAGGGGGAGGAAAGAGGAAGGAAGGAAAGAGAAAGAGAGACAGAAAAGAAAGTTTTTTAAAGAGAGAGAAAAAAAGAAAATATTCATTGCAAGCCCAGTCCAGGAGACGGATAGGGCCAGTGCCCATCGTCCGAACGGTTCCAACCCCGCCTCCAGGCTGGCTCTGTCCCTAATGCCCGCACCGGGAGCCAGGCTTGGGTCTAAGTGCCGGCGCCCAGGGAACCGCAGCCTCTGGACACTAAGTGGTCCCCAGCACCACCTGCTGGACAAACAAGGCACTACACTTATCCCAGGAAGTCCACTTTGGGGCCCTGGAGGGGACTCCTGGTACCCCAGCAAGGCAGCCAGGTGGGTGGAATGTCTCCATTTCTCAAAGAAGGAAGCTGAGGCTCCCAGAAAGATGGAGACAAGCTCAGATATGGCCACTCAGCAAGTTTCAGGTGCTGACAGATCCAGGAGCAGGCAAGGGTGTCTGACTTCAGAGGTCCTATTCCAGCCCTCCAAGAGCAAACCCAGGTGGCAGACACAGAGATTAGAGGGGCCAGCCTGGCCACAGATGGGTGTGGTTGCACCCCCGCTCTGATCACTGTGCTGACCCAGCTTTCTTTTATCAGTATTTAGCCTTGATTCACCACTGCCTGGCCCCGGGCTGGGCACGAGAGACACAGGATTGGGAGGGGTGTGGTTTCTGCTCTTCCCCAGTCTGGGAAGGACGGGAAATATGGCAACAGTTACATTTGGATAAAATCATAAAGCAGCCAGCACACCCCATCATACCTTCCACTTCCTGAGTGGCCTCTGATGCGATCTACACCAAGGGGCCGTCTCTGGGTCAGCCGTGTTTAACAGATGAAGAAACTGAGGCTCGGAGGGATTCAGGCACCCAGGCCCCTATGCTCATCCTGGAGGAGCGGAGGAGAGCCTCCGAGGGACTCCATGCGGGGCTGCACCTGCCCCTTGATTCTCCACTGGCCAGCACAGTGACTCCAGATCACCAGGTCCTGCCTGAGGTGACATCACCATGGAAGCTCCAGAGCTGAGGATCTGATGGTCAGAGCAAGCAGGCCGGATAAAAGTGCTCGGGGCTCCCGGAACAGGAGAGCTGGTGCCCTCCTCAAGAAGACGGCTGCTCCTCAGCTCCAGCTGCCATGTAACCAGGTGGGAATGTGGACCAGTGTGACCAGAGCTTCTGCTATTCTCTTTAATCTTCTTTTTAAGAGGCAGGGCCACACTACGTTGCCCAGGCTGGAGTGCAGTGGCTATTCACAGGTATGATCAAAGTGCACGACAGCCTTGAACCCCTGGCCTCAGGCGATCCTCCCGCCTCCGCCTCCAAGTAGCTCGGACTGCAGGTGCACACCAGCTCAGAGCTTCTGATCGAGACAAAACAAAAATTAGAATTCGGAGATGAAATTTGCTGGTTCATAAACATAATTCAAAATTATTTTTAAAAACACCATATCAGAAAGGAAGAAAAAAACCTCACATCTAGTTCCAAGTTTCAGCCAGGGGCCATCAGTTTGAGATCTCTTGTCTCCTGTAAAAATGTCCCCTTGCTCTGAGAGGCCCTTCGTGCTTAGTTTTATACTTGGAGAAACACATCCTGGAGAGAGAAGTGGGCCCAGCTCTCACTCTCAACTCTGCAGGGGCAGCTCTGAGCCTGAGAATTGATGCAACTTGCTCCAGGCCACAGAGACCTGGCGCTCAACCCAAGCTGCCCCTGCCTACGGCTGCAGAATTGATGTTCCCTCTGCTGGCCCCCAGGGTGGAGGAGAGGCTGATATTGATGCTTCCTAGAAATGTGTCTGCCTGACGGAAGACATCAACTCCTCCCTGGTGACCTCAAATAGAGATTGAGGTAACAGGTCTTCCCCTGGAGTGATTTTCCCCAGATCCAAACATTGGCCTGGGATAATTCTAAATAACCAATCCATCGCTATGCCTGGAATCCTAGCAGGATTTCCTCTTGCCTGTTACAGTGTTAAGAGACACAAGGGTATCTCTCTGGGAGGGATCCAATCTGGGCCTTCAGAGAATGGAATCTGGGACAGGCTCACTTGGAAGGAAAAGAGACTGAAAGAGAAGGGGCTCGGGTGTGGACGGCAGGGCTGGTGCAGCACCACAGTTCAGGGGAGTCCCAAGGGTGGCCATGACCCAAAGGAAACTGTCAATTTCAGCATTTTCCGAAGTGTTGGAAATCACGGAAAGATGGAATAAAAAAGAGGAGACAGGCAACATACTGAAACTCTGTCTCTATAAAAAATTTTAAAAATTAGCCAGGCATGGTGGTGTGCGCCTGTACTCCCAGCTACTTGGGATGCTGAGGTGGGAGGATCAATTGAGCCCAGGTCAAAGCCACAGTGAGTCATGAACACGCCACTGCACTCTAGCCTAGGTGATAAAGCCCTTGTCTCAAACAAACAAAATAGGACGAGGAAGGGAAGAGGAAGGGAGGGGATACAGGGCAGGCACAGTAGAACAGGGCAGCAGCCTAGGGGATGAGATTTCTCTGGCTGGGCAAACAAACCCAGGCAGCCCCATAAGGATCACCTGGGCCCAGACAGGTGGAGAACCTGCCGGCAGCCTGGGATGCAGCCGACAGCACCAGGTGTGCACACAAACTCTGTTCTCACTGGTCCATTTCACATCTGTCCAATTGGTCTGTTCACGGCCAGCGTTAGGTTCTGACTGACTGGGAGCCTGGCGCGACCATGTGGGTGCTCTGACTCCACTCCTGCCCAGATCCGACAGGCTTTGCAGGTTGGAGCAAGGAGGATTCTATGGCACCCCTTGGACCCAAGCTGTCCCCTCATCACAAGTAAGCCACCCTGGGGGGGGTGCAGAAATCCTGGGAAAATAGTCACTTTTTCCCACTTTCACGGTGAAATGGGAGCTCAGAATCCAGAAAAAAAAAAGTTGAAATATCAGATAAAGCCTGTTATTTTCTTAGTATACCTGGGTGGCAGGCAATCCGTGCAATCTCAGTAGTCCTCACTGGTCACCCCTACAAGAGAATCTGTATCACCCCATTATCAAGGAGGAAACTGAGGCACAGAGTGAACACATCACTGACAGGGGTCGCTGGTTGAAGGCCCCCAATACAGAGATCAGCCCCGTCCTCTGTGCACCTTTCAAAGCATGAGCCCATCGCCCAGTGCCCGGCCACCCCACCCCACACCAACCCCAGTGCCTGGACACCCCCACCCCATGCCGCCCCTGGTGCCTGCCTGCTCTACCCCATGCCACCCCTGGTGCCTGGCTGCTCCACCCCATGCCACCCCTGGTGCCTGGCTGCTCTACCCCATGCCACCCCTGGTGCCTGGCTGCTCCACCCCATGCCACCCCTGGTGCCCGGCTGCCCCACCCCATGCCACCCACGCAGATGAAGCAGACCACAGCCTTGTTCTTTGTATTATAAACTGACTTTTAATAATAATAAAAAATCTATCATGGATTTAACGAGAAGAATCTGTACATTTTAAAGTAAACCAGTGCACAATGCGCTGGCCCTGGGCCCTCCTGGTTTCCCGCAGCAGGGTGAAAGCGTGTCCTCATTCTCTCTGACACGGCCACTGCCTGCCATCGTGTGCGCCTCGGCAAGAGGGAAGCGGGCCCTGTAGGGCGGGGGGCTGAGGTGCAGGGAGAGCTTCAAGCTCCTGGCCTGGGGGCAGCAGGGAGCCCCCAACTGATCTCACCACCTGCCAGGGTGACAGACATCCCCTCCTTTCCTCCCCACCTGTGACCTATCCCTGAAGGCATACGGAAGCTGGGGGGAGAGCTGCCAAGAGGGCCCCAGGTGGGTCCCTCCTCCCAGGTGGGCAGAGTGGCTCCCTGCTTTCTGGCAGATGGAGTCGTCCCAATTGCCCTGCTCTGAGAAGATAACATCAAGAAAGTAAATTACAGAAGCCACCAGCTGGTATTTCCCAGTGGCCTTTCTACCTGTGTGACATGGGGCCTCAGGTACGGCTCAGTCACCTCCGGCTCCATTCCTGGCCGGCCGCCTCCCAGGCCCCTGTAGTCAGTCACTCAAAGAGCGAGTTCTAACACCGAGCAACAGCTGGAGAACTGAGGTGGAGGAAGGAATCACAGTCCATACCTGAAAACGACACCTTACACCCTAATAGGAACACACAGGAAACGCTGACATTTTTAAATGTTTCAATAATTTAGTTTTTCCTTTTTGCTTTTTTTTTAGTATAAGTGGGAAAGCTGTCAATACTACCCCTTGTTGGTCCCCTGTTAGACAATATACCTTTCTTTGAAATTTAAAATGTCTATTATCACACAACTTTAGAAAAAAACAAATCTTGACAACACCAACAAAAAAAAAATCCCAAAATAAATCAGAGAGTTCTCGCCATATAAATAAGGTCAGAGCAAATCTCGTGCCCCAGGCTGGCGGCTCCAGTTCCAGGGGCGGTGAGGTCCAGAGCCACTGTGGCTCTCGGCACCCTCTAGGAACAAGCGTGATGGGGGCCCTGTCTCTCCTGTCCCGACAGAGCCGAGTCTTTTCCAAGTCCACCAAGCAGGTTAGTACAGGGTTAGCGTGAACCTGGAAGCTCAGATGAGGATGAGGAGACACATGTGGTCACCTGGAATGTGGACTTTGAAGGAAACCAGGGGTTTCAAAAGTGCAGGCTGAGCCATCCGGAGGGAGCCGAGTGGCCCCATGTGGCCTCCATGACGTTCCCTTGGGTTCTGGGGATGCAGGAGCAGAAGCAGGCCAGGTATCAGCTGCTCCCATCAGGTCTGTGGGTCCCCGGCACCCCTCTGGCTTCTGGCAGGCGCATGGAGAATGGGCTGGCCTAGGGCCAGCCAGCCAGCTTGTCATCACAGAGAAGGTAGCCAGGCTCGTCCTGGAAGGAGGCAGTGGAGGATGCTGGGCAGGTCCCGGAGCAGGTGGGCACGGAAGCCCCGGGCCATCTCTGGAGAAGGCCGGCGCTGCCCTACTATGTCCTCCCAAATCCCAGCTTCAGAGGCTGTGGCCCAGCATGGGCATTCGGGCGTTCAGAGGTCCCCGTCCACCGGCGGCTGGCAGAGGCGGTAGAGGCTGGGGATGGAGGCAGAGGATGAGGAGAGGCCAGGGTGGGCCAGAACCTATTTGTATTATTTCCATTTCTACTTGAACACGTAATTCACGCCCAGAAACCCAAACTCGCAGGTATATAAAAGATGCAGAGAAAAATATCTACGCCACCCGCACCTTCTTCTGGCTGCCAGGCCCCTCCCCACAGGCAGTGTCTGCCCACTCAGACTGGCATTTACAAATGAAGATACGTCTACACGTTCAGCTGCGTGGGGGTGGGGGAGCATTCCACACTAGCGGAGGCCAGATGGCCGCGGCATTCACCCCTTACGCTGTTGTGCTTCATCTATCCTGGGGACCTCTATATGCAGAGATGGTTTTAGAGGCAGGGGGACTAGACTCGAGGCCGTGTGGTGTCCGGGGCAGGCTGACCGCAATGCAGCCCATGTGGTCTGATGCCTGGGTTCAGAATCCCAGCTTTGCCATTTACTAGCTGTGTGATGCTAGACAAGATACTTAACCTCTCTGGGCCTCAGCATCCCCACCTGCCAAGTGGGGACGGCAGCCAGACTTGGCTCACAGGACAGCTGTTTGGATGAATGAGTCCACAGAGGGGAAGCGACTGGACAGTGCCTGGCACTGTGAAGGGACTGAAATGGATCACGTGCCACTCGTGAGACACAAGGTGTGTGTGTAGCCCCCAGCGCCACAGCACAGGCAGTGATCACCACCACTGGCAGTGAGTGTGGCCAGCACACTGCAGTGACCTAAGACCTGGCCCCTGGAGCACACTGCGGTGACCTAAGACCTGGCCCCTGGAGCACACTGCGGTGACCTAAGGCCAGGCCCCTGGAGCACACTGCGGTGACCTAAGGCCTGGCCCCTGGAGCACACTGCGGTGA